AGTAATTGATTTGAGTAAAAAATAAACGCCCTGGGGCATCTATTCCAAAAGGGGCTCTATAGGAGGCGTTTAATTAAAGCGGGACGTCTATGTGGTTTTTTTTCCCCCTTTTTTTTAAAGGAAGAAATTGGTCAATAGTTTTTCTTCGTTCTTAAAATCTTAACTATTTTTGTGTTTTTTTCCCTTTCGTTTCATTGGGTAAAAAAAAAACTATTCAAAATAAGACGTTTTGATGTCAATGGTTACGTTAAGTTCCGGGCACTCACTGCGTCGTACGACCGTCGCACAACGAATCCAGATCTGCTTCCGGCGAGCGATAGACGACGCAACGCCGTCTGCTGATTGTTAGTGGCAGTCTGAACGGATCCTCATAAAAAAGAAGCGATCCGTTGGGTCCGAGCCGTCGCATGCGTTGGTCGTCGCGTCGCCGTCTCACGCGCAGTGACTACTCGGCTTTAGATTGATAATACTCCGGGTAGGTCTATTGTGATTTTTTGTAATGCTGAATTGATTTCGACAGTTTCAGCAAAGTTATTTGCATTATCGATAGTACATAGTCATTACACAAATTGTAACAAATAAATGGGGGGAAAGTCTAAAATGACGTGACGGTATTCGTTTTAGTTATTGATTACGCAACTGTATTTTATAATCGTTTTTTTGATGACGTAACAATATTCGTTATCACTATTGATGATGTAACCGTATTTGTTGTAAACCGCTCTACATCAACCTTAAACGAAACATTGCATAGTTAACAAAAAACATACCCGTTCACAAGTTGTGACACAACAAACATTCGTTTAATATAGCCTTAAAATCTATATCCACTTTACCAAAAAAGTGTGTGCATTATGATATTTTCCTTGTAAGTTTATGTGCTCTTACACATCAAGCAAACTCCACCGACATCACGCAAACTCCCACCGATACACAGACATCGTACACATACGACATATACCTGTCTCTTATACACATCTAGATGTGTATAAGAGACAGCTCTGGACCTGCCTAGCCTTCAGGACCGACTGCTGGAGATGAGTAGGCGGTATTTTGCTAAACTTAAATCCAATGAGCACCGACTGAACAACCTTCTTCCACCACCAATAGAACACAAATACAACGTAGATACAATAAAGCATTTTCCATACCACTCATGCGTACCAATAGATCTAAACAATTCATTATAAATCATCATGGATTAACTTATGAATGGTGATCCAGTCTGTGGTCCTTGTATACCATCACAGCGGTCATCACTGGAGGTCGGGTGGGCCCTAGCATCGACCTCCCCATAGAAGGCCCCAGGTTTGAATCTGTTCAACCATGAAGCCTCCGTGGTCTAGTGGTTATGACACTCGCCTTGACAGCGAGAGGTCGCAGGTTCGAGTCCCACCAGAGGCATTTTATTACACAATTTCTTTATTTATTTATTTACAGGACTACATTCTTTGAGAGCTATGCTACACGATGTATTTATTAAGTCCTTTATTCGAACACTGTATTTACCTTTCTTTGATGATTTATATATGATTTAACAGTGTTAACGGCTACCTTGATTTATGTTATATATATATATATATATATATATATAATAGGCCTATATATATACTGTATATAATATTCAACCAAGGGTAGAAATAATAAAGGAAATTAGGGCTGAATATTTTTAATTGATTCAGGTAAATAATAATTTAAAGGTATAAAGGAAAGAAAGTAAAATATAGATATATGATAAATGTAATATAATATAAAAAAATATCTTATTATATAATGTAAAATAATGTAATATAATTAACCAACAAACAGTAAATCAAATTGACTCGGATGTACAAATGGTTACAACTGTCCTATTGATATTAATTTGTAAAAATATAATTAATACTACCAATACCCCTTTCTATCTCAAAACGAAGCCAACAAGTATTCGCAGTCAATGACATTCCAGCCATGGTACCAACTTATGGTACCGTAATTCACTATTATGCAATAACTAACCAAGTTCTACAATGCATGGCATTTCTACTTTTAATTTCAACCTTCAGTCATATATAATTAGTAGGCCTACCGTCTTAAACACACATACACACATGTTATCAAAATTAGAGAATCTACACTAGACACGCCAGCAGGGGCGGATCCAATTTGGTAAGAAAGAGGGGGAGTGAATGTGCGAACTGAGTAGCTCACTGAAGATCTGGTGGTAGGGTGCACGGGCGCGAATCCCCTTAACAATAGAGGGGTGTACGTACTTTACGTTCACTCACTAGTCGTAGTACTAGTCGAAGTTAGTTTTAAGAATACGAAACGACGTAATTTTTAAGTTTTAGCTCGAACTACTACTAAAGTTCGTTTTAAGAATATCGGGGTAGCTCTCTTCTGTCCCTCGATCATTGCCGTCGAGTTTCGGCACTCCTTTGTTTTCGGTCACTGTTTTTTTGGAACTCAGTTCCATTATTCAAAAACCGTCCGTGTTCCTCCCAGGTCAACAAATGCTTAATTGCAGTTTCACAAATGTAGTGTGTCTTCACCGGCCTCGCTATTTATCTCATTTTAAATCGTACACATCAAGCTTATTTCAAGAATAAACGTCCATTGCAAGGTTTTGCCCAACACATTTAAACAATATATCAACATTATATGTTATATACTTTTCCTAGGCATCGAATTACAAAAAAGTACGTCATCCCCCTTTATCTAATTGATCTCATTAAGCTCCACTTTAGGAACTTGCTCAAGAAGACTCAGGCTATTGTAAGACACTTAGTCCACACTTGTTTTTCTCGAGTGCCGCTTGTAACCAGATCAGGGTCATTTTAGGACACTGCTTCTTAGCTCTTGATTGTAACATGGAGGTATAAAAATATTTTATACCTCCATGATTGTAATTACCATTTATACAAATTTGGAAGTCCCCCTTCATGGCCGTATAAAGCAAGATTCGAGACACACCTTTTCCACCTCTTTAATTCTTTCTCCTGTATTCATATCTCGACTAGATTTCAGCATCATTCAGTTAATCTCATATTGGTAGATTTGGGTGATGCCCTCTGGTTTAATCTCTTTCCAGGGACGTATCCAGGGGGAGCCGTGGCTCTTCCCCCACCCCCCTCTGTACACAGTGTTAACATTTTAAAGCTTGTTCTTGGTAGCCAATACAACTTCTTTCCTGGGATCACTTAAAATCTTAAATCCATAAATCCCAGGCCAGGTCTTTTTGAGACATATAAATGTGATATTGTATGGTTCAGTTTGGTTTTGATCATTTTGCAAGCTTTTATAAAGATTTATTTATAAAAATAATAATGATGATGACGATCATGGCGATGGTGATGATAGATAATAATATTAATACTGTAACATTAAAAAGTTAGGAAAATTGTGCTAAAGGCAAAAAATTAGAAAGTTGTGATTTGTTGATCATAATTGTTATAATGTAGTTAGGCTTCAGTTGTCCTGACTATTAAGTAGATCCCTGATAAAAGATCATGAGAAATTTGTTGGCGCCTCAATTTGACTATATAATGGTAATGTGATGATGATGAATTGTACTACATAAAAGTATCATTTCCGGCCATTTAGAGGTATTTCCTCAAATTTTCTCACCTCAGCCCCAACCATGGTGGGGCTGAGGTGGTTGTGAAATCACGGCTTTAAAGTGTGTAAACTACATACTCAATTCAAAGACAATGCTTTAAGCTTTATTTCTGGTACAGTACATCACACATAATAAGATCCCAATGGTTGCCGAAAATCCCTGATAAAAATCATGAGAAATCTGTTGGTACATCATTTTGACTAGTGCTTATATATAGACTAATGGTGATGTGATGATGATGAATTTTAGGCCTACTCATTTCTTGCATCTAGAGGTACTATTTTCTCACCTCAGCCTCAACCATGGTGGGTCTGAGGTTGGTGTCAACTCACGAAATGTTCCCACCCCTCCACTTTTCAAAACAGATCTACGCACTTTCCTTATGACATTAAACTCCATCGGGTCGGCACCTGACTCAGAGTATGTCTTAGTGAATGCTCAGGCGAGGGTGCATACATTTGTTTTTAGGATGTGATCTGGTTTTTTATGCCCATTTTTTGAGCAGTGGCGGATTCAAGGGCGGAAAAAAGAAGAAAAATATATTCATATTTAAGTCTGAGAATGTAATTTCCGGCCATCATCTAGAGGTACCCTAATCATAAATTTTCTTACCTCGGCCCCAACCATGGTGGGGTTGAGGTGGGTGGTTCCTTAGTCTGTGAAATTCCCTCCCTAGGTCACCTCTTTCGAATCCCAGGATCCGTCACAGTCGGAATTATTATATCCCCTAATTATTGTTAGGCTTACTAATATTATTTATTATGCGTCAATTTTTCCTCTCAAAGTAGTCCTAAAAACGTGTGTGCTCTTCCCAGGGGGTTTCGCACTGGACCCCAGCAGGGTCCTACATACCTCGCTTAACTCACCCCTCCCCCCACCTAAAAATCCTGGCTACGTCCCTGTTAAGCATGGCTTAAGTATCCTTGATTGATTAATAGATTCGTTCGTTATTATTATTTACAGAACATATAATCATATAATGCGCTATATAACCAATTAATGTTAAAATGTTTGCGTCAAGGTAGCACGTATAAATCTACTTAGGCCTATCGACGGTCTGCGTTTATGAAACTACACACTGAGTGGCGCATCTACAAAGGAATCTTGAATTGCCACAGGAGCTCTTTGAAACGACATACAAATTCAGGAAAGATACAGTGACATCTAAATCATAATTATTATAAATTTTAAAATATAAAAATGAAGTTAAATAAATTAATAGCTCCTAACTGGAACTTAGAACGAGGACAACTTGTTTCGCTTATTAACAGACGTAAATACCATAATCTTTGAATCCTTTACATTTCTGATATCGGTAAATTTAAGAATTTTGGTAGAAAAACGTCTGTAAATAATTGAATATTTTCTTTTCGATCTGTGAATTGAAAGAGTTGAAAGTATGTCGGTAATTTACATAAGCACAGTTTATTTTAGTTGTTTGCGATTTATCCATCATTATTTTGAGGATAGCAGTATATAACACTTGGAATGAACCCTACAGGTCTAAATGAATAATTTCAAACTTGTAAAAAAATAAATGTTAATCGTCACCTTCCATTGTGAACCTCTTAATAGTCATGGCCCGGCCTACAACGTTTTATAACTGATGTAAAGCCTATTATATTTTATATACATAACAAAGACAACTGGAATGTTAGGCTACGTAGGCCTACATGATATATATAACTTCGACAAAGATTATCATATGAGAAAATAGCCTACGAATATAAGCTAACATTACATTTTCTTAGAAAGTCAAAAATATACCGTCTGTCAAATATTGCTTATACGTGCGAAGACTGCTCACACGTTACGTTTGTGTCTCTTGTGGTGCGATTGTCATTATTCGACGGTATTTGATTGGACTTTATGTCACCAGGTATTTGGGGTGCAGCCACATTCCTACAACCACAGCCACGACTGGATTCGCACTTAAACCAGCAGCAGATATAAGATATTAGGCTCTGACGAAAGTTATGACTCAGGATACATAGCGTCAATACATTTACACATCCGTTTAGCTCTATCATCGTTTCAGAAAGTATGATAATGTGTATATCATATCTGGCGTCTGCAGTTATTCCACCAACATACCAGATTAGCTTCACATACACACTATAGGGAAACCACAGAATGCAAAATGAAACAGAAATAAAGAAAACGGTTATAGAAACTCTTCGTCGTGTTGCTAAAATTCTTCGCACATCATTTGGTTGTAGTGACCTTCCGCTTGATGTATATCGCAAGGAACGGATAACACATCCGTAAGCAAAAGACATAATCATTAATGGTAATATATAAAATAAAACTTGGAAGATACATGTGTAAATCTCGTCGTCCACAGTATTGAAACATAGTCCGAAAGGGGCTTCCCATGTTATGAATGTTCTTATCGTTGCTCCAAGCGTGAAGATCCATAGAAATGCGACTCCAACGGCCAGTTTGTGTTGTGGAACATTTGAAGAGCGAGACAATGATTTGGTGGCACGGCGTCGTTCTAGGCTTAACAGACAGATAGTGGCAGCAGACGCGGCCTGCGACCAGTCTGTTCCTCCTTTGACTAGCTTGCAACCAAGCGTACTTGTATTTATTTCCATAACACTGAAATGTGATAAATAGTATATCAATTAGTATAGGCTACATTTGAAATGGTGAAATCTACAACCAACCAAAGTAAAACACATCATGACAAGCCAGTGGCGGATTCAAGGTGGGTGGGACCGGGTTAAAATTAATGGATTATAATTGTAATAATATCCCTATGACTAGCAGTGGCGTATCTAGAGTTTTGAAATGGAGGTGCTAGGGTGGGGGGGGGGTGCAAAGTTTAAAGGCTGTCTCTTATACTTCACCCCTAGATATGCCACTGATGACTAGGCACAGTTTATGTACAGCATGGTCTTTAAAAGTATTTAAAAAAAGCACAGTAATGTTGAATCTGGCTAATTGAGTACATAGTTATTAGGCCTAGTATAGGTATATACCAACGTGTTGTTTAATTGTCAATTGTTCAATTTTCACCGTGTGGACTACTCAAACACTCGACCGACTACCAGAGACAATTGCTACAAAGTTTGTAGCAATTGTATGAAGGATAAACGTTTTTCTAGGAGTCAAAATACGAGTACTTTGGACGTTCGGACACAGTTGCTAACTTACAATTTTACAATTAAACATTTTTATTGGAATAAAATCACTGTCAATTAACAGACAGAGAGCCTATTTGCTGTATTCTTTTGCATGACTCATTGGCTGGTGAAATTTAAGAATCTACGGTATTCATTTGGGGTGGGGGGGGGGAGAATAGACAGCCTTTAATAAACAGTACGTCCTATATTCAGTGTATAGCGTCAGTTTTGTGGTAAAATCATGTTTATAATATGCTTGCCTATATAAATCTAGGCCTATTACTTTTATTCATGTGGTATATGATAAACATTCATGTTGTATATGATTCATGTTGTATATGAACATTGATTCATGTTGTATATGAACGAAATGTTTGTGAAAAATCAACATTAAAAACATACATGGATATTGTCTTAATGTGTGTCCGAGCATTTTTAAACGTTTATATCCTTTTCGGAGACGAAGGTAAAAATGTGATTACAAATCAATGTACGAGTCTATATGCAAGGAATATAGGAATTATAAGCATACGGTACGTCCGTCATTAGCTAGTAAACGATTTCTCGTTCTAATTTTGAAGGCTAATAACTTATTTAAATATACCAATATACAAAGTAAGCATGCTCAAAACATACAGTATTGTCTAGTACCTCCTCCAAATTAATTTTTTTTTAAATTTTTAATTTAAAAACATCTTTAGGCAGGATAACATATACAGGCGAGATCTTACCGCTGTTTTACAACATGCTCCTGCAAACACATAGTACAATAACAACAAAAAGTAATCAGTACAGTACAATTTAAAAAAAAAGCAATAGTAAAAACTTTGGTGGAAAACTATCCCCCGCCGGACACCAACCCGGTACTTCTGAGTCAAGGTTTCGGGGCCAGGAATTATGGCTCAACGTTAAGCTTAACTACAACAATATGGTAAAAACTATCCCCCGCCGGACACCAACCCGGTATTTCTGAGTCAAGGTTTAGGGGCCGGGATTACAAGGTAGAACAAATACTGAACAATTACTTAAATAGATAAAAATGGTAGAAACTATCCCCCGCCGGACACCATCCCGGTATTTCTGAGTCAAGGTTTCGGGGCTGTCACAACTTTGATTTTAACTACAAACCTAACTAAACAATGGTAAAAACTATCCCCCGCTGGACACCATCCCGGTACTTCTGAGTCCAAGTTTCGGGGCCGGGATTAAATGTTAAAAGTATAGACCAAGAAAATATAAAAGGAAATGAATTGTGATAATCAGAAAAAGTGTTTCTTATAAGTAATTTTGAATAAATTAAGAAACTGACATTCTTGAATTCTGATTGGGATTTGTTCCAAACTTTTGCTCCAGTGATTTTTAAAGACCCACTCATTATACAGAGCTATTTGTAATTGGGTGTGGGGCGGGGGGATAACATTAAGCGAGTGAGCGTATCTCGTAGAATATCCATGTCGGTCAACTAGACCAGGCTATAATTGAGATAGGTGCCACTTGGAGAGGTAGAAATTCTCATATGGTTTTTCTAGACCAGTTTTTTATGGGGAATCAGAATATCCGAGGTAAAAAGGGCGTAACCTGAGAACTTTCGCGTGAGGGCGCTTCAGAACCTTGTATTGCC